AGGGATCATGTTCATCTTGTGGTCAATAATAACCCCCAAGTCTCTTTCTTCCATAGTGCTCGCCAGTGTAGCACTGCCGAGCCTATAAGAATGCTGCAGCTTTTTCTTCCCAAGATTGAGAACCTTGCATTTTTCAGTGTTAAACACCATCAGGTTCTCATGCACCCATTTGCTGAGCCTGTCCAGGTCATCCTGGATCACCCTCCTGTCTTCTGGTGTGGATGCTTTGCCCCAAAGTTTGGTGTCATCAGCAAACTTGGCCAGTCAGCTTCTGACTCCAATGTCCACGTCATCAATGAATATGTTGAACAAACTGAGTCCAAGGACAGAGCCTTGGGGGACCCCACTGGTCACAGGGCACCATGATGATTGACTTTCATCAATTACCACCGTCTGGGTCTGACCACGGAGCCAATTTCCCAGCCAGTAGATCATGGTGGACCCAAGGCCACAATCAGCCAGTTACGCCAAGAGGTGACCATGCGATACCAGACTGAAGGCTTTTTTGAAGTCAAGATATGTGTCATTAATCTCTTCTCCCTTGTCCAGGTGATAGGTCACCTGGTCACAGAAGGAAATAAGATTGGTCAAGCAAGGCCTACCCACAACAAACCCGTGCTGGCTATCCCTCAGGATGTTAGTGTCGGCCAGTCCATTAAGGATAGCCCCTTTTAATAAACTTTTCTAAGACTTTCCCCAGGATAAAAGTCAGGCTGATGGGCCTATAGTTAGCCGGATCCACTTTCCTCGCTTTCTTGAAGATAGGCACCACATTGGCCTTCTTCCAGTCTTCGGGCACTACACCAGAGCGCCAGGAGTTTTCAAAGATCCGTGCTAGAGGCTGGGCTATGATGCTCGCCAGCTCCTTGAGTACCCTGGGTTGTAGATTGTTAGGGCCAGCTGACTTGAAGGTATCCAGCCTCTTAAGGTGTTCCTTCATGAGGTCAGCATTGATGGATGAAATACCTCTTCTGATGGGTGAACCTTACTAAGGGGAACAATCCACTAAACCAGCAAGTGCTTATGATACTATTTTAAAGCATTTATCATTGACTTAACTTTGCTCCCATCATAGTTACCATGAGTTTTGGTTTTGACTTCAGTAAACTTCTACACTTTATTCACTCTGGAGAAATCTAACTCAAAATTTCATTTACTCTTTGCACAAACTGGGTGCATCTATACACGCACTTTACTGCAGAGTAGACTATTTTGCTGTGCAGTGAAGTGTCACTGTCTACACATATTAGGCAGTATTGGCCACAGTAAACTAATCAACTCCACCGTAAAATAGTACTACCTTATGGCAGAATAATTAACTGTGGTTAAATGCATGTGTAGATATTGACCATGGCTAGGGACAGACATTACACATAAACCAGTTTAAGTGATCAGAAACTGGTTTAAACCTGTAACAGAACAGATGTTCACTGCACATAAGTCAATTTGAAAATGGCTGAAACCAGTTTGAGATAAACCTGGTTGAATGTAGTATCAGACTTAACTGATTCGGGTCAAACAGGTTTATGCAATGTCTGTCCCAGACCCCTTGATGGTTTAAGATAAACCAGACACCTCCAGCATCCTTGTTCTTAGCCCCCAGTATGCTCTCTGGGCTGGGTGGGGCTCTCTGCTCCACAGCAGAGCTGGCCACTCTCTTCTGCTTCCTGGCTGGAGCTCCGGCAGAGACCCTGCAGGTACAGCTGGTTCTGCCTGGCTTCCCTCTGGCCTACCCGCTCTCACTGCTCAAGCAGCAATAACCCCCTCCCTCCCATCCCCACAGCACAGACCCCAGTCCCATGGACCCTTTGCATGAGGTATGCTAGCTAATGCTGAGAGGTGTCTGTGTGTGCATGTCTTCAATTTCACTGGGACAGGACAAAGGCAGATAGAACAGTGTCAGCTTAGGGCATTTTTGAGGTAATCAACAGGTCAGCTAATCAGAATGTCCTGCCAAGGCCTGGCCACACCCCTTCAGCTCAGTACTATATAATGGAAGGGAGGGCTGCTCTAGCACCCCCCAGCTTCTGGCCTGAGCCACTGCAGTCATGTGCCTGAATTTCCTCAGTCCAAGACATGGTCTGTCTGGTTATAAATCAGTTCAGCCTAGCCAAGTTAAACTAACCTGCAAAGATTGAATCAATTCAGCCTCAGGCTTTTTGAATGTCTGTCCCTAGCCCATGGGCATAAATTGTACCTGGTCAGCCCAGCCAGCTGGGGGCCAGACTCCTGCATTCCACCTATCCACACAGCTCCACACTTTCAGCACCCTTATACCCCAGCCAGCCCCTCCGCTGCCTGACACCACCCCCCATTCCATTTTCCAGCTCAAGCCTGCTATGCCCCAGCTCAAATTGCTGCTGTCCTGGATGCACATGTAGATGCTGTGCTCAGGAATAGTTTATTTTGGGTCAGACTGCTCCAGAGTTTATTGCTTTGCATTAATTGCATGTGTAGAAGCACCCAGTGGGATTCCAGAAAGTGCTGAACACAAGTCAGTGGGGGGAAAAAAAACTCTGCATCTTCTAAATCTGAACCCTGAGTTATTTTGAGTTGGCAGTTTTAATACATATTTTTGAAAACTCATGAATTAAGAGCATTAAAATAGAATATGCTTTAACTGAGCTTCCAAAATATTAAAGTTATAGGCATAAAAAGACTGTGCCTAAAATAGAGAAAAACATTCATTGAGCTCTCACTGGGAGCTGATGAACACTTTCAAATCTAGCCGTAAGGGCCCAAATCTACAAGACAGTGAGTGCCTCATAGGTGTTTAATCCCCTTATTGCCTTCAATTTGGGGATTTAACCATATTGTAGGCAATAAGAATGCAGTCCAGCCTTCATGTTGTAGGTCAGGGGGTGGCAAGCTACAATTCATAGCCTGGATTTGGACCACGGAATAATTGGATCTGGCCCACAAACTTGAATCAGTGATATTCAGCAGCATGGTCCTCAGCTGTGGCCTCGCTTCAGCTGTTGTCCCGGGAACCAAACCCTGGTTGTGGACACTCTCCCTATTCCTTCATAGAGAAAAGGGATGGCAGTGGCTAGGTCCCAGCACCCATCTGTCCACCCTCCTCTGACGCATGATGGATCATTTTGGCCTGCAGCTGGAAACGATTGTCTATCCTAGTAAATGGCATTGTGTGAATTAGGAATATCCTCAGAAGTTTGCCCTTTTGGTGGGAAGTGCCACACATCCATGCACGCATTTTCTCCTGTTACTTTTTTTCTGGTCGCTCATTAAGGCAAGTTACCTGTTTCTGTCCAAGCAATGAAGGTATTACAGCAATAAGTTTCATGGCATCATGCTCTTTCCTAAGCATTATCTCTCATAATCCCTGGCAAAAACTGCTAAAATACTACAAAAAGCAAATAATTTGTAAATCTTCCTAAAATCTGCATATGCTCATATGAAGCACCACTCTGAGCTACCAGGATTATCAGTCTCCTAGCAGTAGTAAGATGACTATGTGAAGTTCATGTCCACCCCAACTGGAATGTGAATATGATCAGGAACTGCAATAGTACGAGCCACTCTGGTTCTGTTTTTTTATGGTTATGAGAGAACCTACCAGTAAGATGCAAACACGCTGCCCCTTTTTGCCTTTTCCAGTTAGGTGTCATTAAGGCTGGATTTTTTTAAGTGTTTAAGTCTTTAACACCTATTTATTTTAATGGAAGTTAGGCACTTAAATACTTTAACCACAGGTGTTATAAGTAGCCCACAATATGTTACAGCTAAGAACTTGAATTAGGTTGCAGTTCTTAATGTACATGCTATATTTTCATGCATTTGATGTATCCTTATGTTGGCTCTTTTTCATTTTTTGTAATCTTTTTTACATTTTTGAAGGTTTTGAGTTTCTTTTGACGGAACACTTTTTCAAGAATATTTATAATATGTTAGGATATCCCTGTTGCAGTTCATATTGTCTTTTACTGTGGATCTTAAGGCAGTATATTAACCATGCTTACTACATAATGACTGATCGTGAGAAGTGCTGAGTATATACTTCTTCTACTCGTGTGCTTGTGAGTTGAATTAGAGGCATACCTGGGCACTTCTGCACCCTCAGTAGAATCAATGGCTGTACTGGTAGCAGCAGAAATCAGGCTGCCGGCACAGCAGCTCAACATCCCAATTTGTTACCTGGGGCTACTTCCCTGGTTGTCTCCCTTTAACTATGCTATTCAGTTGAATTATCTCAAGATAAAGCTGAAGAGACCTGACTTCTTCCAGCTCCTGGGTACAACAGAGCGAAATTTAAGTAGCCAGAGATTTATCTTTCAGGGCCCCCACCCCCAGATACACATATTCATACAGAGAATCACCAGCACTGCAAACTTAGCAGAGGTAGAAATTAAAGCCCTTGGTATTAGGGGAGTACACAAGGGGCAGGACAGACAGGTAAAATGGCAGGGAAAGAAGAACTGTCGTGAGAGGAGAAAGATGGAACAAGACTGCTACTCCCAACTGACAAAAGGTTTCAGTGGCACAGATTAAAGTTAAAGTGACCTTGCAGTTTTAACTTACAATGAGGCTAAGAATGAAGGAACCACATTCAGCTCCTTGTCAAGCTCTTTTTTTCCCAGTGTGCCTGAGCTGTAGTTTGCCATAGATGGGAATCAATCCCCTTGCATATTTATTTGGAAGATAATGATTATGAGCTCAAAATAGCAGCCAGACAAAAATTAAGCAATCTTACCTGCCTTCTCAGGAATGGCAGAAATGTACTCCACATGTTCTTTCAAATATATAGAGGTGTCACAAGGAAGTATCTGCGTGCGATAAGAAGCAAGAGTCCAAGGAAATGTGGAATGTAAACACATTCTGTCACAGCTACCTTTCCCTCACTGAGCTCAAGGAACTGTGGTCAGTCTTCTGAAAACACTTTTGAAGTGTTTCAGGTATTTGTAGGCAAAGGGATAAATTTTAACTTCACAACCTTCATAAACCTGCTGTATAAAGAATGTGTGCCATCTTTCTTTGTGCAGGTATCTAAATCAAGCTGGATCTGAGGAGACATCAGTAACAGTGAACACTCAGAACAGAGACAAATTATCTATCCTAAAACAAGCTCTGAGTGCTTTGGGATTCAATAACCTGGTAAGTTATGCAAGCGTGTCTCCTTAAATCAGGTCATAAGAAACTCCTATATGAAACGTAAGGAAGAAAGGACCTGGGTTTTTTTTGCTTGTTTGTTTTTGTTTTTCTTAAAAATACCAATGAAACAAAGTGCTAGTTCACTCTGGGGAAATGAGTGTAATCACTTTTAATTAGATACTGCATCAACAATGTCAACCTTTTTCATTCTTAAAGATTCCAAAACAGCTGCAAGGTATAATACCCTGAACAATTAAATCACAGATAACAAGAAACAATCAAATCCCATATGACAGAAATCTCATAAACCCCATGGGAATCTTTCCTCTTTCTGATTATCTCCACGTCCCTTTAATTTTGTGAAACATATATTCCAAATGCTTTCTGATTGCTGGCAGCACCTGAAAAGAAGCATATGCATAATTAGGCAAACAAAATTATAGTCAAGTAACATGAAATATCTGACTTAAACCCACAAATACAAAAAAGAAAAATAGGGTTTGAAGTCCATGTTAACCCTATAAAGTAGGTGATGGAGCTGATTTAGGAAAGAATCAAGGAAGAAGGCTGAAAAAGCACTTGAGGGGAATGGCAGAGTTGCAAGGTATTTGAGTTTGGAAACTAGGTGATTACTCCTAGAAGTCATATAATCCTTTTCAGACCAGTAGTGCATTGGGTTTACTGAGACATCTCATATTCTAGACACATTATGTTTCACTAATTCTTTCATTAACTTTTTCCTTTGTTTAAGGACAGGGGTTTAAACCCCTAAATTTAACTGCAGAGACAATTTGACAGCATTGTGATAGAGTTTTGTCTCAGAGTTTTACTACATCCTTTGCTTCAAATTTTTTTTTGCTTGGAACAGCTGAGAGGCTGAAGAGAAGAAAAGAACAATCTTTGGAATAACTTAGAGTGATCATAGGGTTTCCCTATATTCAGCAGACTGCAGTAGTCCCCAAAGAGTCATTGAGCAAACTACAAATCAGTTCAGAGCTCTTGATGTGCTTTCTATGCTGGATATATGGGAGTTAGTATAGGGTAGGTCATGCCTCCTAAATGAACTATGCGATCTGTGGAGG